TGCTTCAACATACAGTATCGATCATACAATCTATTTCTAACTAACTGCTTTTTGATGTTGTATTTCGGAATGGACACTAAAGCAACATCATCTTGCAGTCCTGCGCGTTGTATGCATTTTCGAAAGCCGCACTGACGCTATCAGAGATCAACGGGAGGCATAGTGGAAGCTTATTATAGTCATCAATGTTGTTACCATTTCTGAAATGTTGACTATGTGGTAATGAATGGTACCCATTGCTACAACCAATTTGTGACGCTAAATTTCGTAGCTCGCAACGTTCTCTTTTTCCAAAGCACATCAGCATTGCTGTTCTGAACATGTTTCCAATGGCAGCTCTCTTTACGGGTGCTGGAGGTGCGGATTTTATATTTACAAGGATGTTCTTGGAGCTTTCCTTACGGAACCATTTCACGCTGACAATGCCCTTGGACAATTTCACTTGCGCGTTGAGATAGGGTAGCCACCCGTTATCTGGTGCTTTTGGAGTGAGCTTTATATACTGCGATTGCAAATTGAAGAGTTCGAAACACATGTCCATTTCGGACTGCGTGGAGGTGACAATACAGCAATCATCGATGTAGCGGCAGTACATCAGCGGCATGCGAGCTAATACCGGTCCTTCAATTTTGCTCATAAAGCAAATGGCGAGCACTGGTGCTAATCTTTGACCCATAGCTAAGCCGCGTATCTGAGAGTAATAGGTCCTAGACCATCTAAAGATGTTACATTTCAAACATTCGCATTCGCGCTTTGCCCAGTTCAAACATATTCGTAGCACCACCGTATTTATCTAACCTCCGATAGAGCCTGAGGCTTGCTCATTCTGCACATTGGTATAGAGTGAGATCATGTCAAATGACTCGATTACTACGCTCGAATCAAATCTAGCGCTTTGGAGTTGTTTGATAAATTCATGCGAGCTGGACAAATGTTCCGGTATTTTGATAGCAACTGGCTCATTATTTTGTTTAAGAACCACGAGATTCTGTCGGTAGGGCCGCCTACATAACTGATTGTTGGTCTTTGCAAATTTCCTCTGACATTGAGTTCATGTCCCGTAGAGAAAGCTTGTGTTTTGAGAATGTAAAACACTGAATAACTCGTACTCCTTAATTTCAACCTGTTTATGAATCTATCCTCTAGTCCGGCAAATTTGCCTATTGCCGTCCATGTCATTCAGTTTCTTAAACTGTAAAAGGAATTCCTTTTCAGAGATTCTGGCCCGTAGTAAAGCTCGATCAGTTGAGGTGAACTCAACTTAACCCATCAGTTCACCGCACGTGAGGTGAACTGATGACCACCCACCCTACCATGCTATAAGATGGTCAAGTCAACTGATAGTTGACGATCTGTCCACCTGCTGCAGTCAACTCTTCCACATCAGTTCACGTTCAAGTCACCTCAACGTGAACGGATGTTAGAGTGATCCAAACAGTGTGTAGAAGAGGAGACGCAGACAAGAGGTGACTGCATCTAACATAAGTTGCTCCTGAGTAACTTACGATACACACAGCTTTGCCAAAAAATGCAGAAAAAATCGGCACAAAACTGCACAACCGCGCCCTAAAAGGAGAGGATCGATGAACAGCTGATTTTGGCGAGGAAAAAAGAAAAAAAAATCTCTTTTTCTTTTTTGTAGGTTTTACTGACTTTTTTCTTTGACAAACTGCTCAAGGCAAGAATTTGTAGATTTATTTCGTTGGATTTATGTTGCAGTTATTTCAATTTTCCATAAAAGTTTCGTCAAAAAATGCGTTTTTGTGTCATCCATGTTTTTTCTAGGCGAAATCCTGGATAGCGGTCATCATCGATTTTCCGATGGTGGTCGCTATCAAAGACGCCCTGCAATACAGCAAAAACGTGGCGCTAGCCGGTGTCGAACCATGGCCACGCGCGTTCAATTTCAGTCCCTTACCTGCTCGACCAAACTAGCTCGAGTGGTTCCCTTTTCAAGAAGGCACTTGATTGTGATGCCTCGGAAGCGATCCGCATCCAGATCAATGGCTCGCCGGATGCTAGACTGAGGCGTGATGAGATCAACGCCGGTCCGCGTCGAGAAAGATGCCCTGATGGGGGGTTTACTACGGGCCTCTCTGCACGTTGTAGAGTCGGCGCTAGATGGGCTGTTGTTAAGCGGCGGTCTGACTCTTAGGGCATTACCACAAACTCGCCCCTTATCGCTTACAGGCAATCGTACTGAACCGTTTGAAACGGGTTCACGCATCTCTTTGAATCCCAGTCATTGCTTGCGTGTCAGGTTGCTCTGATGCTTTCGCTTTGCTCTGTTGAGAACTTCTAGAACACCTGGCATAAAAGGCGGAACTTGATGTCTACTTCAAGGTTGTCTGTAAAACAATGGTGGGAATGCAATTGGTGGAAGTAAGCTTTGAGAGTTGTTGAATGCTGTGGTTGCGCGACTCTTGTTTTTCTCTCGTATTCTCAGAGAGTCTTTAAGTTAATGCAGGCTTCCGACTACTTTGCGACAAATGGCAGCGTTAACATTTTGTGCAGGCGAGAATGAAGTGCCAAGGTTAAGAAGCTCTTCGATAATAGTGGAAATTTGAGCTGCCAATAACCGTGACTCTCGACTTTCCTTCATTGTGACATGCAAGATGTTCAAAGCGGTTGTCGGATCTGCCACTTCTACCACGTGAACAATTTTTATATAGATCAGTGAGGAGTCGGACGTACTTTGCTCGGAGTTCGGACTTGAAGCAATGCTGCGTAGTATACCCGCATGGTAAAGTAGGCGATTGTGCTAAAGTAGGAGTGATTTATCAAATTGAATGTCTTAGCTGTAATGCACTCTACATTGGAGAGACAGAAAGACCATTAGCACTCGCATAAACGAACATATGACAGATAAAAGGCGTAAAACCCAGTTATCACCTTTGAGCAGGCATAGAATTGAAACGCATGGTGGAAATGATTTTAATATCAGATGTAAAATCTTGACTTACGGAAAGGAAACCTCGGCTAGAAAAGCGTTAAAAGCGTTCTGGATTTCAGTGAAAAATCCAGCTATGAACAACAAAAATGAGTGCTTGCCCATAACCTTCGACTTCCTTCTCTTCATATCGTTATGCGATCTGTAGATGACATCCAATAGTTATCTATAGTATACTTCATTCTTCCGCCGTGACCATCATTTCCGATGCGAAAACTCGTATAGTGGTGATCTGTCGGTATGTTCATCTTCCCCCTGACGTTTTTGCAATAGGGAAGTCAGGCGAGAGTCGAGAACTAGCGGGATTGGGAAAGGTGTTGGATGGCGTGGAGCTACAGATGACACTTTGAGCCATTTTAGGATACCTTTTTGAATCACTAACGGCCTTTAACTGACAAATGAAAACAGTTATAGGCAGTCCGCGCTGTGCTTGGAGAGCAACGCGGTTGCGTACATCGAAAGCAGTTCATGACTAGAAGAAGCGCAGAGAAAACAAACGGCGAGAGTGCATGAGGGAAAGGGAGCGCAGTACACACCCTGCGCACTCTCCGCGCCCTGCGCGGATGGCCTATTGACTAAAATTTGCGATGATTATCTAAGTTGAGACACATATACTTGAATCAGCTCCGGCGACTGACCATGCTGAATCTGCGGCACATCATTCTGAAGCAAGCTATTGGATTTTTCCTGTGCGAAATTGGCATACTTCAACATGGGAAAGCTGACTCGACAGGGAAGCCTGCCTAACAACGGTGTTAAAATATCAAATTAAAATCAAACTAAGTTTTTTCACCCACAAGAAACTTATTGCAGTAAATTAGCACTTACATGATGATACCGAAGTACCAGTATGTCAACGAGTGTGCAAATTTTGACAAAAAAATCGAGAACTCGCTTCAGAATGATGTGTCGCAGCTAAGGACAGCATATTTGGAATCAGCGTTCAAAACTGATTCCAAATATATGCGTATTATCTGTGCGAATCTAAATTACTTGGCTTCCAAATATGACGAGACTTTGATAGCGATTGCCATGAGAGTGGCGGAGTTTTGAAAGCTATCAAAGTCTTCTTAAAAAGGTTCGGCTCTGCAAACTAGATCCAGGTTTGTCGCCATTCTCAGAAATGATGGCACACGGTCATATCCAAGCTATGGTAGCTAGGGTCATTGTTTTATACGATACTCAAAAATACGGACACACGAGAAAAACGTACAATGGTCAGAAGGTGTTCTACAATGTTTGGACCTGCTTATTGTTTGCCTCAACAGCTTTCAATTGTGAATCTCTTCTACTACGATTTGATTGCACTAAGCATTCATAGAACAAGACCTGTCAATCAAACCTTTTACACTTTGGAAAACTGAATGTTTGAATGAAAATTAGCATTTTTAATTTATTTCCGGAAACATCTATTGGTTACATCACACACACACACACACACACACACACACACACACACACACACACACACACACACACACACACACACACACACACACACACACCACACACACCACACACACACCACACACACACCACACACACACCACACACACACCACACACACACCACACACACACCACACACACACCACACACACACCACACACACACCACACACACACCACACACACACCACACACACACCACACACACACCACACACACACCACACACACACCACACACACACACACACACACACACCACACACACACACACACACACACACACACACACACCACACACACACCACACACACACCACACACACACACACACACACACACCACACACCACACACACACACACACACACACACACACGACAAAAAGCGAGAAATTGGGCATTGATATGTCATCAAGCTCAGTCAGTGGACATTTTTGCGCGGCTACTAGCTCTTTTTAAGTAACTCGTGAAAATGCTGGTAAGAAAGTTTCGATATTATTTCAGTATAACAGTATGATTCCGCATTTAGCAAATCTCCAGTAAGAAAACAAGACATGCACATACAGCATAACTCCATTAAACCAAATTAAATTTGAGTATTTTACCTTCAACGGATCCATTATGCACTTAGCAGTATGGCCAACGCCTCCCACATGAGAAGTATTGTGGTATCGTAGTGTAGGCATATAAGTGGCAATCTGAAATAAAGCCGTATCTAGATCTTATTGTAGGCAAAGGAGTCTAATTCTGAGCGAATCTTACTTGATCAATCCTCTATCAAATGTCTTAACCAATGTTTTTTCTGTTCAATTCTAAGACGTGTAACTCTTTCATATCAATGGAATCTAAGAGTACATTTTTGCATGTACCACTGCACCATATGTTCGTACTAGTTGGCTTTCCCGGACCAGCCCGAGCCTTGTTCACTGCCTGCTGGATAATGCTACAGGTTGCCAGCAAGAAGTGCACTGCGAGACCCCTCCCCCTTCTTCCATGTTATGAATGACTTATATCAGGACAACCACTTCGATACCGCATCTGATCCTGAGATGGAAATGAGATTTACCGCCATCGTATATGACTATCGGAAAATGTTCGCTCAGAAATGATAAGCCTCCAAATCGATAAATTGATAGGAGGCTGAGTGACGCTCGTTTCTATGACGCACAAACCCTCCAAACTAACAATTTTTGAGTTTTATATATATACAGATTCATACCATTACGTCACTGCTTGAGAGCTTGTACGATAAACTTACGTAGAGGTACATCACCTCAGCCCAGTAATGAGTAAAAATAAACCTTCCCTGTCGTGCAACTCTTACATGTTTTTTTAAGTAATGTAAATCATTCCTGTTTAAAGATGGCGATCTGCCGAACGTTAGCCGTTGAAGCATTGTAACAATCTTGGTACGGCTCACAAAGAACAAACAATATAATATCACTATGCCGAGATTCATCGAGGTCGTACATTCCATCTGCTAGGCAATGTGCCAGCCGAATTTCAGAGACTCGGAAGTCCTGTCGCTGAGACAGAAGATCTATCACCCAGACAGTCCATCCTTCATTTCAACCGCTGTCCTACAACATCGCGTGGTCCCAAACTTTATTGCACGTGAAAGGACCCACGAACCATGAGGTTTACCAGAAAACGTTTACGATATTTGGAAAACGCCGAGTGCAATCCATCCAACTACGCCTCCTTCGCATTGCACAACATCGTAAGAAGAATCAAATGTACACTTGGTGTGCAAATGTGTCACAGAGGACAGCAGTTGTTCACGATATTTGGAAAACGCCTTTGAAGGAAATTAGTGGGTGGGTCAATTACAATTTGCAATCAAATTCGATTTAACTGAAAGCGGCACTGTAGAGGAAATTTGGTAGTCTCTTGGGTAGATAGCAAAGCAACGCTGCGACTCAAAAACGCGAGTACAACTATGGTAAGAGCGAGCGCACAAGCGCTATAATTTTGGATCACTCCGCAAAAACATCGCGAGTCACAATGATTGGAGGGTTTCAGCTTTTGGAAAACGCGCGTTCAGTACTAGAGTTGGGCCCAAGTTCCTCACCATCACACCCATTCTATGATGGCTTTGCGCCAGTCTGCCTGTAGCTGCACGAACTCCAGGATAAAGTCCGCAGAAAGGTGAACCTAGAGGGTGGGGGCGACAACCAAGACTATCTAACATATGTCCAGCAACACTTTTCTCACGTGCGTTTTTCAAACAACAGTGTGCAAATCCCTCAACGGATTTTGATTTTCGCCTTTTCGCAACGATGTCTTTAAAACGATAGCACTCATCCGCGTATGGAAAACACATTCAAAGCTTCTCTAACACAGAAGCAGGGCGTTAAGCTAATACGCGAGCTAATAAATATCGCAAGTAAGACTCAAATAACGACAGGGGAGGCGTATATAATATGCGATCATTCTCCACCAGCTAGATGTTGTGATAACACAAAGGCATGGAAGACGAATTGCTATACCGCTCATCCTCTCCAACGAGTTTCAGAGGCAATACCGCAAACTTAACAGAGATTGGGTAGCGACTGCTAAAGCACTAATGCACTAAGCACTCATTTATCACACGACACTAATGCGGGTCTCAAAATCGTGATGCCTGCCTGCCCTGCTGTATCTGCTTATTAAGACCCACAAGCTCTAACCAGACACCGACTTGGCTTCCACCGACCTTCCTAAACTCAATGCGACCCATTATAAGCAGCGTAAAAGGGCCTACGGATGGGATTGGGTGAGAGCTATTAGGTTGTAACAGAATTAGTACAGGTTTTTCGCGCATCTTTTTCAAAATGCTGGTTTAGAAAGGGAAAGTGTTTTCCCAGAAATTTTCGCACATCGTTCGGAAGTGCTTTTCTTCTAATTTCTTAAGCATTCTTTCGTTTCAGTGGAAGTGAATTTGTCTAGAAGTTTTGAGACCATGAATTTAAGAAACCAAATCTTAAATTTTTTCTTTTAATATACCTGGCTCTAAAACCACCACAAACAAACGGAATTCGCTGCAAATTTACAAAATTTTTTTGAGTGAGCTATATTACAAAATACATGTTGAATCGTGAATTTTGTAAACATCTGAGCCGAGAAATTTCAGAGCAAATGTCAGCGGTCGCTGTGGTCCGTCTGCCCTATAATCCTCAGCGCGAAGCGACTGCGGAGCTTCCGCTTCATATAGGAAGAATAGATTTTAGACATTTATGGCTGAAAAAATCGTTGGGTCGTTCTCCCTATTTAGTTTTGAAAAAATTCAAAAGTTTCAGAAAAACGATTTTTCAAATTTTCAGAAAAATCGAAAAAATTAGTACTTTCAAATTTTTTTCAAATATCCTCTCGCAAGGAAATCTTTTTCAAATCCGAGTTTAGCGCTGCTGCACAACCGACCATAAGCTACACAGTGAGTTATACTTGCGCTACCCTACTACATTTGATAGTAAGTTATGGTTTCTCTAAGTGAAGGTTTTCCGAAAAAAATTCTTGGCAGAATTTGGGCTATAAGATTTTTCTAAGTGAAGCTACAACAACACAATAATGCATACCGAGTTGAAAAAGGTGTGCTGCTTGCAACAATTTTTGTTGCACACGAAAAGACTATTTGTGTGAAAAGTTATAATGATCCAAACACAAAACTCAGAAAACCTGCATTAATTCTGTTACAATCTAATATTTCGCACAAATCAGAGATTTGGCGGAACAAAGGTAATCCCCTACATTTTCAGTAGCCTTTATGGCAAAAATATAGCCCCAATCTTAGAGTGCGCCCCTTGGTTTACTGTATACATATAGACGCTTGCTTTATCATCTGCGCCACTTAGGCAGAAATGCTTCCAACTACTCAACGAGCAACAGTGCACACAGCTTACTAAAGAGAAGCCCAGCAGCAAGTGGTTGCCGTTTCTAAATATGCAAATCCATCTCTTCCGGTATGGACGCAACTAAATGGTACGGTAAGCCCAGCTTAAAATATTCTTATCCATTCTCGATCAGCACGCCCAGTCCAAACAAAAGGAGCTCAATCAGCCACATGTTCCGCACAGCATCCCAAGTTTGCAGTGGGCAACGGGGAAGGGTAGAATCATTGTCGCTTGCCCGCACATAGCTTCTTCCAGCGGTTACGGAAATCATGCAAGGGCACCTATGAATAGGAAAGAAACATCTTGTAGTAAACGAACGGTCGAGAGAACAGCCTTCTGCATTCCCTTTATTTCCGATGAACTACACTGCATTGCGACGTACCTGGGAAGAGCAGGGCTACAAAATTCAGTTACGATTGTAGAACTGTCTCCGAGCAATTTGAAAACCTTGTTGATTCGCGTCCTCAATCGTCATGACGAAAGTTCTTGCATCACGCCTAACTGCATTAGATCCCTTAGGGCAAAGGCGGGGATTTGGCCATGGGGGCATCTATTAATCTCCTGCGATGACTGCGGCAAGGAATTCATGGGTGAAACGGCACGCCCGTTGTGTGTTTGCATCAAAGAAAACTTGGATGGGAGAGGTAAGTCGCGCACATTCACTCCTTTAAACACTCACCAGGTTCAGAAACATGCGGGACAAATTTTGGAGTTTCGGTGGAAATCCTGGCACACGAATCCCAAACATCAGCTCGCAAATGTTTGGAGCATTTCGGATTCATGCGAAAAGCCCAAAAATGAATTGCAAAGAGGAATGCCTAACGATCACGGGTGAACTCGCGCTCTACCTCGCTCAGCTCTTCTGACCTAGTTTTCTGCTATAAATAGTGGTCCCCTTATGCGGTCAGCCATTCAACTTGCTCTCGCATCAAATCTCGTCGGCGTAACCCAAAAGGTGAGTGTTTGGCTATCGGCTATCAGCTGAGCTAGTGGTCTAAGAGAAATCTTGACACTTTGCTTGCTTTGCTGCAAAGACATTTTTGAATAGATTGTAAGTCGTTTTACCCATTTTAAGCTCTGAAGAAAACGATTTGCCGAAACATTAGCTAATATGGTATTGTAACAATCTCGGCCACGGCTCACCGATAACAAACAATAAAATTCCTTCCTGTATTTTTGTGAAGGACAAACTCCACACAGTCAGAGATTAAGCGGCTTTACTCTAAATTATGATAGAATTTGTCGTAAAAATGATGTGCTACTGTATAGTCATAGAAAAAATACGATATTTTTTCAATTTGTCTCTAGTTTCCGCATGGTATCACCCACCAGCGATCTAAAGTTTGAGAGATGAATGGGACGAAAATAAACTGCAATCATGCCGATCACGTATTATCGGTAACGTGAGAACTATAGAATGGATTGTATGATAAATGGGGTTTGCATAAATTGATCAATTATGTTACTGAACAAAATTTGTTTGTAGTAAAGCTACAACAGAAATCGGAATGGAACTCTCGTCCTTATATGACAAGACTCCGATCAATACGAAGATTGGTTGTGTTGATCCGCGTAGTCTCAGTTTTTGTATGAAGCTCCATCTAGTTATCCTTCATAAGTTCTTGATTATTTCATAGTAAAAATCATAGTCCAACTTAGAGTTCACTCAGAAGAGAAAATGACCTAAATGACGCGACGCAGCGGAAGCCTATCGTAAAGAGCTAAAACAAAGCATCGTAAGTAAGAAGATTTGCGATGACTCATCTTGAACTTGACTGTGATTCTGCTGTCATTCACTTTTGCGTTACTAGCAAAATATGGCAAAATCAAAGGGCGCTTCCTTTTTACCAACCTGATTATCATCCTTGTAATATAAAGGCATGGTATCATTTTTCAGAATCCATCGTTGGCGAAATTGAATACCACCGATCGACGGGTCGGAAATGTTCCTTGAAAAATTTCAGTAATTACCAAGATCAAATCAGTGTTATCAGTTGGATGCCTTGTTTCCGTATAACTAAGGAGATTGTAATCATCACCAGCCTAAGATAATCCTGAAGAATACCATTGTAGTCTGTCGGAGTAAGACGCTCATCAAGATCCACAAGTGCAACCCACTGAGAATGCCTCTTTGCCCGCGTGAGGCAGTCCTAGAAACTCGGAAATGACTACAAATTGTGTAGTTGCTAGAGTAGAGGGATAGCTACAATACCGCTCGTATTTATGGAAAGAAAAAAGATGCACAGTCGAACGACATAAGTGACATCACTTAGCGAGCCACATCTCGCTTCAGAGCGGACGGATTTTTGATACAAAGGAACATTCGACTCAGGTCGGCGCGGCGCATTTTCCAATACATGAAAGTGCCCGCTTAAACATAACAGGAGGCCAGATTCTACGAATAGTTTCATATTTTTTGCTTAAAGGCAGTGTCTCGGCAGATTCGCGCCGGGGATAAATTTAGCCGTGATGAAATTCCTGGTCACCTCACTAACTCCCAGGCCCAATCCGGCTGGTTGCTGTTCCCCCTGCTCCGAGGAAATAGCCCTCAAACAGCTAGCGCACAGACGGCTTTGCCTACTTGTAGAGCAAGGGACCCCACGACCGCTCCCGCACTGTACATGCTGTTCAAAGCAAAAAATTACGGGCGGCAGCGTCTTCGTGCCAAGGCCTCAAGACTTTTGATCGAAACTCTCTCGTTCGAGCTGCATTTTGAAAATTGGGTAAAAGTCCCAAAAACGTCTTTTCACGCCTTTCAAAGCTCAATTTTGGGTACGTGCTGAAAAGGCCAAAAACATGTAGAAAGGTGGACATGCAAAATCTGACGGGACACTGTCTTTGAAGTAAGTTACTAAGTTACTCAGTGATTGCAGTGAATAAGTAGACTGAATAACCTACAGTAAGCAAATATCTGTATGAAGATGAGAGACGCCGGACTTGGTCGAACGGTGCTCTTAGATGAAGAATTCGCCCACTCTGAAGCAAGATATGACCACGCCACAACGATGCATGAATTGAGCGACTGTGCGTCATTTAATTTCACAAAATACGAGCGGTATTTTACGTATTACTTGCTTGAATTTCCATTTGTTGCCAGTCAACGTCTGATTCCTCGTATGTATTATGGAGATAAACAACTTCGGCATCTCCTGTACGGACATAGTCATTAAGAATGATTGTGCTATACTCGTCGATTTCCCTGATGTAGATGTAGAAGTGCGTGGCACCCTTAAAAAACCCCTTAAAGATCAAAAAAGGATAAACTTCTTGAAATGTGGTCAAGTAAAAGTTTCAAAGTGATTGGAGTTGAGTTACAGTCAGTTTCTCGTTACAGTCAGGTTGCTTTTATATTTCTGTTAGTGCGGACGCCTCAAATTCTTTGCACATTGACTTGATGACTTTCATTTATAAGTGAAACGAAACTAGCTGACCTACTTGAATTTTGAAATGTTCAATGAATTCCGACAGCAAAAGCCATTTTGGTTCCGGCCCATACATCGGAGCTAAGCAAACAGAGAAGAAATACCGTGGCACTAAAAATAACTGTCTGCAAAAAGAAAGCAGGATATTGTTGGTAACCTCAGAAAAGGCAGGATTAGAATATGGGAGCTTTTGCAAAAATCAGTTGAGTCTTGTTGTACTTGCCAGTGTTAAATTGCATGCAAATTTTTGCAAGGATTGTTGGAAAACAATGCAAATCGAATCTGTTCATAAAGGTGTACATACAGGGGTGTCCCAAAATTGTGCCTATTGTTCTATTGTTATCAAAGGCAGCGTCTAGGCAAATCTGGACCTAAGCCGAAGATTTTACGTGGAAAGATACTTTGGGGCACTAACTAAGGCATGTCCCAGGCGGCAGCGCTATGACTCACTAACAGCCAAGATATACGCCTCCAAACTAAAAGCCAGGATTGTATTTATTATCAAACGACTTGCATCGTGTTTGCATGCTTTCGCGCGTACGCGAAACTGATGTGTCGCGCCATGAATCCATGCGAAATACAATCTTGGGGTCCGGCTTGGAAGCGAATACCTCAGCCGTTAGAACACTATCTGAGCTGCCGGTTAGGCAATGTTTTAGTTAGAGTTCAAGATCTTTGCCCCATACGTCCAGACATGGCTTGAAGCTGCCTTTTCTCATGTAATGGAGCCTTTCAAGAAGCGTTAGGTGCTGTTTTGTAGAGCTGCTTCCTCTTAGATTTACGGTATAGAGCGAGTTACTGTTTTTGTTTTTTTCATTACTGTATGATTACGGTAGGAACTTTGGAGAGGTTTTTGCATCATTAAGGGTCATATTCTACACATAAAGGGGCTAAGAAGCTTAAATCTGCTATATTAGGTTAATCAGAGTTGCTGACTCCGATATGGTTTGCACTTCACCGCTTTTCCTATAAGTTCTGTCAGATAAACCGTACCACATCAATTTCTGATATTCGTCAACAATCTGATTACCTTATTTAAAAAGCTCGACGAATGCAAAAATTGTAGTGAGATCGGAGTGCGTGAGAAACATGTTACATAGTTTTCTGGATCTTTTTATTTATTTGAACCAACTATCCCACAATGGTGCCATATGCTGTGAGTCCCTATCGTACTTTTACAGTAATAAAGCGAGATCGGTATTTGCCCCACGCTGTAAATTTAAGCTGAAGCCATCTCTACAAAATAATGCCTAACATGTTGTCGGAAGATTTCAGAATAAAAGAATTATTAGCATCAAAAGAGTAGGCATATTTTTGGGACACCCTGTGTAATCCCGGTTTTCACTCGCACAGTGACTGAATCATTTTTATGAAGTTGTCATGGCTACAGTTCCTTTTAGTTTTGAGTCCCCACCAAATTTGAAGTGGATCTTGCTATTATAGTGAGAGCTTATAGTTTTTTTGACAAGGTGCTCTCCTAAGATTCCAAAAACGTCGCCAACTGACCGTCAAAAGTGCGGTCCAAAATTGGCACGGGGTACGTGTAGTTCCCAGAATAACTCTCCGAAAGTGAAATAAATGTGGCTTCATTTCGTCGCAAACAGAAAATGCTGTATTCTGGGAATACAAATGTTTTGAAGGGTTCAGCCACCTCATGATGTTCGTCGTCGAAATAACGGCAGTAGACGGCGTCACTGAAGATATCTCTATTCAACGATTCATATAAACTAGTATGACATAAAGAAATGTGAAAAAAAGCAATGAACTTGAACGAAAAATTTTGTGAAGGATCACGCTAGTGAGTCATTTCAACAAATTTAAGTTCGTCCGCAAAAACGAGTTACAAATCCTCTTGTAGTATCTTACAAGAATAAATTTAATGAGCATGAAAATGTTATACTTTGTTTCCCCTTTATTCTCAGTGTTATCCCTTGTCTCCCCTTAATTGTTTCTCATTTTCTCTTCACTGCTTTCTTTCTGACATAAGCAGATTGTTCTTTCGCTTGTCACACTAAAAATAACTAAAAAAAGAGTCTTACTAATTTTTGAATTCTCAATTCTGAGCGAATTTGTCAAGTTAGTTCCCAATTTCGTAATGCTGCTAATGGCCTTTTTTCACGGTTCACCATCATTATTTGAGAAAAGAAATCAACGCACCGCACTTCAGAAAATTTCACCAACTTTGCAATCTAAAACTAAAAATTATTAACTTTTTCCCTAACGAACTTCGGTTTTTGAAGGTGCTGTTCTTAGAAACATGACAATGTCTTTTCTGCAATGTTTCTTGTGCTTTGCTACAATCTACATTCTGGAAGAAAAGATCATTAACATCTCCTTTGCCCTACTTTTAATGTCTACCGCTTCCGCAATTCCTATCAATACTTGATTTTTCAGCAAAAAAATGTGATGTTTGATTCCTTTCCCCTGTCCACTCCCTTTTTTCTTCACCATTCAACCAAACAATCACCAACCGATCATTCAAGATACTTTGACACTATGGAGTAAAAATAAACATGCCCATATCTTCCGTTAGACGTAGTTGTTACTGTAATCTGCTCGGGAAACTTATAAGCAGCAAGCAGACTTAAGCTTTGCCGTATGGTGCCCTAAAAAATGTATTTTCTAATCAAATTATGTTAGATGTAAAACAAACCCGTTTTCCAATCTTCTCCGCCATAACTTTTTTGTAAAATTGTAAATGAGGAATAGCAGTATAGTTTGCGAGAACTTTGTTATTGGGTAACGCCGTAGTGAGGTCATTGATGATGAAAGGCGGAGCTGTAAGATTTCATTAGAAGTTAGAACTTTTTATAGTGAGAATTTACTCAACTGTAAATTTTAGAAGGATCAGAGGATGACGCTGTCCAATAAGAAATTCTTATGTTTTTTACAATAGGGATTCTGTCAAGGAAATCCATGTCGATCAACACTAGTGCAATGCTTGCGAAGAACAGGAACCCAACACAGATGATTGCGTTGGCCATAGTGACGCACTGCAACATTTTGAAATTAGTTTTGAGACTATAACATCAACAAAAGTCACTACTGGACAGAACCTTTTTGAGTGGAAAGAGTCCATTACCGAAACTTCAACGAGACTAAATTTTTTGTTTGAAAATGCTTTCGCGGAAGCTTGGGCCACATTGTAGGGCTGGCTTTATCTTCAGTTTCTTATTGAGGAATCCGGTAGACCGTTTATCGGACGAAACGAATAATAAACTTTTTTTCTCTTCGTACTAGATTTGCAAAAAAAATGAGCGATCTCTTATCATCATTGTAGGAGTAAAAATTTTTAAAAGGGTGCTTAAGTGCAAATATAGCTCCAAATTTCAAAAAATTTGGGAACTTCGTGGCCAGATCAAATAGCAAATTTAATTACATATATGAGCTTTTCGCTTCAACAAAATCTTTGATCTGAAAGTTACAACAATAAGCGTGACAGCAACTTTATCAGTGCCTATCAGAAATCTGATTACAACATACAAACTACTCTACAAACATTTGCGAAAGTTTTCATTCGTATCAGATCAAATATTCCATCAAAAAAGCTTCTAGACATTTCGGAAATTTTTTTATGGTAGGTGATTCAACGAGAACATTGTTTAGGAAATTCCTATTAGTCCTACAGTCACAAAAAGCTAATAAATGATCTATTTTGCATTGCAAACCTAAGAAATGATCAGTCTTACACTATGCTAAGCAGGGAATGGTCAAAAGTTAACGTAGCCATACCAAATATGCTACAAATCATCTGAATCGTCTTGAAACGCTAATCACAAATGTATGTTTACTATCTGCCAAGCGACTTTCTGGAAGGAGTTATGAGCGTTTGAATGTGCAATTTGCCAAGTGTTCTGTGGGGCATATTCCACAAAATACGTCTTAAAAACACCTATTCAGGTTTTTAAAGAATGTGCTTGTTCCTCATAATAAAAATTAAAAATAACCACCGTAAATCCACGTCATCAGGGTGCTTTTGAAGGAAATGTATTGGTCGAAAGTAGATGGATTTTTCATATTTGAACGTTCATAACTCCTTCCAGATCGTCCCTTGGTAGATAATGAACATATAATTGAAACCAGCGTTTTAAGACCACTTCAACGATACACACATCGTCAATGGCTGGATTAATCTCTGACCATTTTCTGCTAAGTTCCTTGAAAGCTGTTTTGGACAAGAGAGTTCATAGCGATTAAACTTGCTGCACATTTCTAAGACATCCTGTGTAGTTAGATAGGTCTTTCAATAAAGGTTTTCCCATAGGGAAGGTAAGAAAAAATCATTTCCTCAAAATGTGCTCTTTTTTCTCCAAAGTAATAATTCAAACTATGAAAAATCTCAAAATGTATGGATGTATCGAAACATGAGGAGGGTTAAAAGGAATGGTGCTCAATGGTGAATCTATTTGCTCTCAATGGATTCACTGTCTACGTTGATAGATAAACAGCTGCAACAGCTGCATTCATATCGAGATCGTCGTTCATTCTTCAATAGATCCGTTTTTAGTACACTAATTTGGTGCGTAAAAAAGTATGATAAAGCTTCTATAACCATAAAAGGCGTTCGATTTCACCATTATGGGGTCAAACAAAATATTATTGAAAAAAATATACCCAATTTTAATAGCAATTGATGTATACAAAACAAAGAGACCTTTAATTGATTCGCTCCTTTACGAATTGAATACTAGCAGTTATGTTTTAAAGAAATTATTTAAAAATTATGGTAGAAAATATTCTACAACAAATTTTTCCCATTTCATAGCTCTTCCCAATCCAGGAATTGCAGGTTTTTTGATGACTTTACAGTGGTACCAAAATGCCCAATGATTTCATTACTTTACATATCGAGTTTTAATGCCATTCAGCGCTTTGCGAACTTTGCCGAAAAATTATTCATGACTTTAAAAACTTGTTTTTATTATGTAAGCGGTTTTTTGTGCTGTCTAATGCACTTCAAATGCATTAAATGTGATGAATTTTCCACCAGTGTTTCAAAAATGAGGTAATGTGCGATTAATATTGCTTTGCTCTATCGAATGGTACCCTGGAGCCCTGTAAAGAAAATGAGGTGAC